GGGGAGGGGCAGAGAGAGACTCCCAAGCAGGCTCCATGCTGTCAGTGCAGAGCCCAGCGTGGGCTCAATCTTAGCTTTCATGAGATCATGACCCGAGCTGAAATCAAGAGTCTGATGCTTAACCGACTGAACCACCCAGGCGCCTGATTTTTTTATTAATAAAAACTGCATTTCTTTCTTTCTTTTTTTTAATGTAATGTTTATTTTTTGAGGGAGAGAGAGATAGAATGTGAGCAGAGGAGGGGCAGAGAGAGGGAGAGACACAGAATCCGAAGCAGGCTCCAGGCTCTGAGCTGTCAGCACAGAGCCCGATGTGGGTCTTGAACGCACAAACCATGAGATCATGACCTGAGCTGAAGATGGAATCTCAACCAATTGAGCCACCCAGGCGCCCCTCAAAACTGCATTTCTTAATTTAGTTTTCTGACTCTCTTTGTTCCTTTAGCGCTTTCAAAACAGTATTCTCCTCAGTAAGGAAAGCATGCTTGATCCAGTCACTGACACAGCACACATGGAATCACCACAGTCCCGCTGACATGTTTTTTTCATTTTAGACAATCTCTAAGAACTATAGGTCTCACAGCACAGACTCCTCAAAGTTGGCCTTGGCACACACCACATGTGGATTTTGGGGCTTTTCCAACCTCCTTGGTATAAAGGTAAACAGTTATATTACCAGGGGTTTGGGATAGCAGGAATACCCCTCTGATCCAGTGGTGTATATAAATGGAATTTTGTAAATGAGGCCCTATTTAGACGCAGTAAGGGAGCTTATAATTTAAATCCTTGGGACGCCTGGCTGTCTCAGTTGGTAGAGCATATAACTTTTGATCTCAGGGTTATGAGTTCGAGGCCCACATTGGGTATAGAGGTTACCTAAAAAATACCTTAGAAAGAAATGAAAGTATCCTGAAATGCCTCCTTAAAAAGATTTTTGTAATTGGGGTGCCTGCGTGGCTCAGTTGGTTAAACGTCCGACTCTTTGTATTGGCTCAGCTCATGATCTCACAGTTCATGAGATTGGGCTCTGCACTGACAGCGAGGAGCCTGCTTGGGATTCTTTTTCCCCTCTATGTGCGTGCATGCGCGTGCTCCCCCCCCCCCCCCCCCCCCGCCGTAAACATTAAAAAAAAGATTTTTGCATTTATACTAAAAGCTTTGGAAGTAATTGAGGGATGCTGAGACTGGCCGCTACGGTAAATCATAGAACCAGTACTATTAATATATTCTTAGAAATTATACTGGATATAAAGTAGTTGTGAAAGAAAATGATTAATTGCTTAGTACCTATTTCCTCAGTTGTGTTCTCTGGAAGGGAGAAGTTAATAGGTGCTGGTTATGAGCAATAGAAGGTGGGAGAGTTTTATAACACAACTGTGGGAAATTCGGCTTTTGGAGAGTCACAATTAGCAAGATTAAAGTTTCTAGAAAGTTCTAGAAATAAACCTGTTAACTTGAACGCAGTATTTCTTAAACCTTTAATTATGGAACATTTCTTTCACTTTGTCCCTATTTAGCATCCTGCAAAATGGTGTTCTCTTTCTGTGGTTTGGGAATTTTTGACTGTACGTTTCAAGTACCTAGAAAGCATTAGAAGATATTTATTTATTTATTTATTTATTTTTTAATTTTTTTTTTCAACATTTATTTTTATTTTTGGGACAGAGAGAGACAGAGCATGAGCGGGGGAGGGGCAGAGAGAGAGGGAGACACAGAATCGGAAACATGCTCTAGGCTCTGAGCCATCAGCCCAGAGCCCGACGCGGGGCTCGAACTCACGGACTGCGAGATTGTGACCTGGCTGAAGTCGGACACTTAACCGACTGCGCCACCCAGGCGCCCCACATTAGAAGATATTTAAAGTGATGGCTTTATACTTGGTGCTTTTCCCTTCAGAGAGATGACTAAAATAAGGGAATTGCCTTCAAGGAATTGCTGTTGGATTGGAAGAAACAGTGAATACACCAGTGCAATACAAGGAATGCAACAGGTGTGGATGATACCAGGCATTTTTTGTTCATCATTCATTACCATGTTATAGACTACGAGTGGAATGAATAGAAATTCAGAGACTAGTTAGGCCAAGAATGTTTCAGGTAATGGGGCAGTACTCTTTTTTTTTTTTTTTTTTTAAGTAATCTCTGTACCCAACGTGGGGCTCCAATTTACAATCCTCAAATCAAGAGTCACATGCCCTATCGACTGAGGCAGCCAGGCACCACAGGAGCAGTACTCTTATGTTGAGGAATAGTGCCAGCTGGTAGACTGTGAGAGATCTCATTGATGGCATTTACCCAACAGTGAATGGAGTCAGAAATAGGTTGAGAACTGTTGCCATGGGGTTTGAAAGAAGAAATAAAAATTCTAGGAAAAAGGGCCAAAAACCATATTTAGAGGCTGAAGAGTTCCAAAGTAGTGTATTGACTTGGACAGAGTCTGCAAAACAAGAAGAATGTCATTCATGTTTGATATTACAGAGAGAAATTGTATTTGGCTCTAAAGAAATTATTAGAAAACTTGCATGTATGAAGGCAGAGGGATCTGAGTTTGTATTGAGGAGGAGGGAGTATTGTGGAACTGAGGTCCCCTGATAGAGTTGAAGAGTTGATTTCTAGAGCGGTGGTTCTTGACCTGTAAACTGTGAAGTTATTACAGGGTGTTCACTGCTTAATTCATACTTTAAGCCTTTTCTATAAAATTGTACAAAAGATGTTCTACATCATTGGATAATACAAATTCAACTCACTATTATGTAGGGTCCTCAAAATATTTTGATGTTAATAAAAAGTTCTGTATGTAGAAAGCTGAGGAATCGCTTATCAAGAGTTATAACAGGTAGGAGAAACTGGCTTTCAGGGAGTAGTATGTGAAATGTTTCTCTATTTTGAGCTCATATAGAGGAATAAGGCACCTTGGAGTGGGTTTGCCATGAGGGGGGGACCTGTGCCTGGGAAAGTGAAGATGTTGCAGCCGTGTCTGATGAGCTCTTGCTGGTCCTTGAAAACCCAGGGGAGGGTGTGGATCTCTCTCTCACCAGACTGTATCCATATCCCTAGTAAGTCAATAAGGTGAACAGCCTCTGGCGTGTCGGAACAAGGTAGGAAGGATAAGAGAGCATATACTGTTAAAATGAAGATGGAAGCTTCAGTTCTGTAGGTGAGGATCTACTAAAAATTGAGGAAGAAAGCGGGAAGAGAAATGGGGATATAAGAATAGTCTAGATTCTAAGCTTTAGGATAATATCTGGAGAAGTTTGAAAGTTGGACCAGCAGTGAATTAACAGGGTTGGCCAGCAGTTGGGAGGGCCCCTACAGAAGTGGGCCTGAAATGGATGGACCTGAAGCGGATGAACTCTGCTGTAGGCCTGCTCGGCAATTCCGGAGTTAGAACACAGTGGGCCCAGAGGGGCTGGTTGTCAGGATGATGAAAAATTGTGGTCTGATGGGATTGGTTAGACAGAAGCGGGAGGGATGGAATGTTGGACGGTTTGCGGGCAGGAAGTGCGTGCTTTTTTTCCAGAAAGATGATGCCATAGGTAGGCTGTGAGGGAGTGTGTAATTAGAGATGTCAGGGTTTAAACAGTGCTTTGAGTTCCAGAGTGTTAAATGTGTTAAGAGAGAAGTGTTACACAGAGCTCCTTCCAGCGGCAGCGTGTATTTACAACAAAGTTGGGGACACTTGAACCGGCATTTTTGTAAATAGGGAAAAGATTTTAAACACTTAAAAAGCACTACTAATTGAAATTCCTCATTTTGTCACTCTATATGTTATAATTTTTTCTTGGTGTTTTCAGGATTGTAGAAAATGTTATCTCAAATATTTCCTCTTTTAAAGGACTCTTACCTGTAGAGTGTGCCTCTGTGATTATAGTGCTGAATATGTTTTATGACAAGCATCAAGTTGATGTGTATGTTTAATTGTAACTATGAAGAATCAGAAAAACCTCAACCAGGAGGGAAATGATTAGATGAAATAAATCTATTAGGGAGTAGTGTGCAGCCATTAAATAGAATAGGGTAGATGCGTATATACTGACATAAAAAGATAGCCAACATCCTAAGTAAAAGAAACAGTATATATAGAGTCGTCACATTTATGTGTTAAAGAAGTGCCCTTTAAAGCTATGTACATCTAGTTTTATATATGTATAGCTAAAGGACTGTACATATACAGAGGTTCATAGCTGAAGGATTCAGACAGTTTGTATGGGATTAACAGTGGATAGCTCCCTTGTATGGATATACACAATTTATCCTGTAGCATTTGTGTACTTTGAATCTTTAATGATGATTATGAATGGATTATAACTTTCAAAAGGAAAGTTAAGTGGCATTGCAGATGGATTTTGATACAGAAAGTATAAAATTTAGAGAATGAATTTGAACACTTATCACTGGTAAATTATACTGTCTGAAGTCTCAAAATACTGAAGGTGTCAAGGGAAAAAACATGTAAAAGTATTCTCATTTATAAGGACATAAATTCAGCCAGGCATAGGAACTTTAATAATTTAATTAGTCAACTAAGTTACATTCAGTTTTCATTTCAGTACCGTTTAACAGCCTTTCAACCAAGTGTGTCTGTGACCCAGGTTGCATCTGAATATTTTGTTAAGCAGGGTGCTCATTAGTACTTTTATGTCATTGACTTTAAGTTGCAATTTTCGAAGAATGATCCCTGTAGGTGCAAGCATCCACTTCATTTAGGGGGATATTTATTTCAAGAATATTCCATTAATAAATAAGAAAACTTATACTTGGGAAGCACATGGTGATAATAGGAGAGGAAAATCTGTGCTCCATAAAACTAGTGTGTGTGGTATTGAAGCAGTTACCAAAGAGCAGTGGAGAGTTGATTTTTAGGCTTTTAGTAGTTAATCTAAAGTAGAACTGTTTGTGGGAGGTTTGAGAAGACAAGTCAAAGACCTGAAATGGGGCTCATTCTAGTGATTTCTATGCGAATAAGCACCATTTTGAGTTATGAATGCCTCCCTTGCGAACATGTCCTGTATGCCTGATTGACTGGTTATTTGCCATTATATTTTCCCAGCTGCCCCATGAGTACACATAACCCACCAATGCCAGCAGGTGCACTTGTCTCGGGCCAGGAGTCCTGGTGAGGGGCTGGTCTGTAAAATTGACAGGTTCAGTCTCTTTTGTCTCTCATTTCTCTAAGCACGGATGACTTAGATTAATCCCCTCCCCTCTGTGTTTTCTTTTTCCAGCTCTGTTACTTTGATCTTAGAAAACTTTTCTACATACGTTGTCCTTTTCTTCCTTTCAATTCCTGCCTGGTTATGTATGGAGAAATGTTGCTCTGACTTCTTCCTCTATGCCTCATCTTCTTTTCTTTGTTCCAAAAGTGAGCCCCAAAATGACAGTGATAATTACCGATAATAGTAGTGCTTCCTCTCAAGGAAAAAGCAGGTTTTGAATTGGAACACGATATGTAGTATTTTATTGAGTTTAAGATGCCACTGATTGGGAAGTGCTCCATTATTATATAGATCACGAAGAAAGAGAATATGAATGTCTTAAAATCAGTGCTGTCAATATCTAAAGCCCTGAAAAGTATTCTGAAGATGCTTTCAGAATATGATAGGCTAGATGATCTGATTGTCTTTACTAGTGACATTCTTAACATCACTAATAAGGGACCTACGGACAGTACAAAATACGTACATTGTGAGTAATTCTTGCCCTCAAATTTTAATCTAACTCAATCAAGTCTTTAGATCTGTCTCCCAATCTACAGGAACTACAAGGAATAGAGGAATTGGTTAGATTCTTTCTAGCTTAAGCAATTAGACACAGCCAGAAGGTGAGACATTCAACAAGAAAATTGGCCTCAGCTTGCCAGTAAGTTGGTGTCTGGGGGGAAGACAGGGCAGTAGGGGAGACCATTCTGGATTCAGAGAGACTTTTGAGACAGAACAATCAAATATGAGATGTGGTTGGCATTCCTCATGCTGCTGTTTTTAAAATGTGGACTTCTGGTGCGCCTGGGTGGCTCAGTCGGTTGAGTGTCGGACTTTGACTCGGGACGTGATCTCACGGGTTCATGCGTTTGAGCCCCGCGTCAGGCTCTGTGCTGACAGCTCAGAGCCTGGAGCCTGCTTCAGATTCTATGTCTCCCTCTCTCTCTGCCCCTCCCCCACTCATGCTCTGTTTCTCAGAAAAGAATAAATGGGGGCCCCTGGGTGGCCAGTTGGATAAGTGGTTGACTTTTGGTTTTGACTCAGGTCATGGTTTGTGAGTTCAGGCCCCGAGTTGGGCTCTGCGCTCACGGTGCAAAACCTGCTTCAGATCCTCTGTCTCCCTCTTTCTGGCCCTGTCCTGCTCATGTGCTTGCTCTCTCTCTCTCTCTCTGTCTCTCTCAAATAAACATTAAATTTTTTTTAAAAAAGTGAATAAGCATATAAAAATTAAAAAACAAATTTTAATGTGTATTTATTTTTAAGAGTGAGAGAGACAGTGTGAGCAGGGGAAGGGCAAGAGAGAGAGGGAGACACAGAATCCGAAGCAGGCTCCAAGCTCTGAGCTGTCAGCACAGAGCCCGACGCAGGGCTCAAACTCATGAGATGATGACCTGAGCCGGAGTCGGATGCCTAACTGACTGAGCCACCCAGATGCCCCTAAAGAATTATTTTTAATGTAGACTTCCTTTACCTATGTTCTACTGCTTGTTTTCTTTTCTGGTTCAGTTCGCTTTGTACTAGTCCTTTTTATTCTAATTTTGTTTTTTCCAAATAAGTACTCCTTTTTTTGTGAATTCTCAGTAGGTGTTAACATGTACCATAATAGTTGTTTATCTTTGGTAGTATCTGGTGAACAAAAGATTCCAGCCATTTTCCCTTAAGGAAATATCTTAGTCCATTTTTCCCTATTATTAAATTATTTAGGTTTTATTTTTCACATCTTTGATATTTATAAGTTGTTTATTGTTACTGATATTGATACCAGGATCATTGGATATAAGAAAAATTATTCCATCTATATAGTTTTGTAGGGTCCATGTGTTGCTTAAAATATTTCGGAAAATGTTTTAAACAATGCTCAATATATAGGACATAAACCACGAATTTGTTGATTGATTAATCTAAAAAATTTTTTTTAAGTTTATTTATTTATTTTTGAGAGAGAGTGTGAGCAGGGGAGGGGCAGAGAGAGAGGGAGAGAGAGGGGGAATCGCAAGCAGGCTCTGCATTGTCAGGACAGAGCCCAATGCGGGGCTCGAGCTCCCAAACCTTGAGATCATGACCTAAGCCAAAGTCAGACATTCAACCAGCTGAGCCATCCAGGCGCCCCTGATTGGTTCATTTTTTTAAGTTAAATTTTACCTGACAAAGTGGCAGTGATGGAAGATATGTGACTAGCTTTATAAGCTTTGCAAAAACTAAACATTTATTTGCTTTAGTCTTTTATATTAATGAGAAATACCCCTTTATAAATGTTTCACCACCTTTCAATAATTTGAAGTGAGAATTTTTCTTTTTTTCTTTCTTTGTTTCTTTGTTTCTCTCTTTCTTATTTCTTTATTTCTTATTTATTTTAAAGTTTAGAGAGAGAGTGCATGTGCACTGGGGAGGGGCAGAGAGAGAGGGAGAGAGAGAATCCCAAGCAGGCTCCACCCTGTCAGCACAGAGACTGATGGGGTTGGAACCCACAAACCGTGAGATCGTGACCTAAGCCAAAATCAAGAATTGTATGCTTAACCAACTGAGCCACCCATGTGCCTCTCTTTTTTAAAGATGACTCTAGCTTCATATTTCTGCACATCTTAGACATAATTATGCAGATGAAGATTTTGTCATAATTGTGTCAATTTTGTTTCATTAGTTAAATTTTTTATTAAATATTTGTTCATTTGCAGGTATATTTGCTTACTTAAACTACCATGTTCCTCGCACAAGACGAGAAATCTTGGAGACCCTAATCAAAGGCCTTCAGAGACTGGAGTACAGAGGCTATGATTCTGCTGGTATTTCCTTTTAAAAAAATATTAATAGGTTCTACATGATTCTTGAATCTATATAAAGAGGTTTTATTTGTTGCCTAGATTCTTTAGTAATGTTTATTTTCGAGTAAACATAAAAAGAATTTTTATCTTTTATTATGTTCAAAGGGTTTATTCATGTAATTTCAACAGTATTACCATTTATATTACTTCTTATGGATATTTTCCTTTGTTGAGAATGTTACGATAAAAACATAAATGACCTGAGGCATGTTCATGGTAGAACAAAGTTCTTGAAGGCCTTACTTTATAAATTATCTTTTTTCTTTCTTGTAACTTTAATTTCTTTTTCTCTAAGGATTCCCTGCTCTTGGCATATAAACTTGCCTGAGATTCTTCCACCTTAAATAAATGGCAAAGCAAATAAAAATACCTTTTTGTCAGCTTAATGGTGTATTCTAGCTCCTTTCCTTAACCATGTTAGGGGTCCCCAAGACCACCTCCCAAGGAGGACTCAGCATATAGTTGTACTCATGACTAGGATTTATTCCAACAAGAGAATCCAGAGCAAAATCAGCAAGGAGAAAAGACACATGGGGTGAAGTCTGGAGGATATGAGGCACAACTTTTGAGCATTCTCTCCTGTTGGAGTCCCACATTGTGCACTTAATTCAGCCAGCTGTGACAACGTTGTGAAATGTGTATCACTGAAACCACTCAGTGCCCAAGCTTTTATTTGAGGCTGCTCGCATAGATCCCATCTGCCTAACACGTACCACAATTCTGGACTCCCAGAGTGGAAGCAGATGTTCAGTATAAGCCACATTGTTTGCAGTTAATAAGGTGCAGTAAACCATTCCCTTATCAATTAGGTAACCCTCCTGAAATCCCAGGTTGCCAGATGCCAGCCAAGGGCCAACTTTGCAGGCAGACCTTTCTAAGGAAAGCGGTGTCAGGCTTGCTATGTTAAGCCTTTTCTGTACCTTTGACATTGCCGAATGTAATGGGCACTTACTTTCCATAACTTCCTCAGTTAATAGAAAGTGAATTCCTCAGCTCCTTTGTTCATAAAATTCTCTCCTTCCTTAGCTTTTGGATAACACATATTCTCTTCTTAATATGCTGGTTCTTTTGTTTGCTTTGAGGGCTACTTTTCTTCCACCTTTGCTTAAATATTAATGTTCCTTAAGATTCTTTCCTACGCCCATTTTTCTTACTTTGTATCGTTATGGGTGAGCTCTGACTTCATCAGCCTCCCATATGTTGGTGATGAATAACCCACATGTATTTCCCAAGCTGCAGACATGTATTTCCAGTTGCCTCTTAGAATTTTCTTCCTGGATAAACCATGATACTATAAACTTTGCATGCCCAGAAGTGAAATGAACATACTCCCCACGCTGTTCTTTCTGTATTCCTTTTATCAGCAATCATTCAACAAGTCCTGTGAGCCTAGAAGGTATCCCAGACCCAGCCTGCCTTCTCACATTGCATCCAGCCAGTTCTACCCTCAGTATCACTGATCTCTGTCTTCATCACCACTGTTTGGTTCAGGGCCTCCTCACTTTTGCTTTCCTGTAGCTATCATCTTCTGACAGCTGTTCCTCCCTTTCAGTCTACTCCGTTTCCAAAGAGAGTCTTCTAAACATTTTTGGTTTCTCTACTTAAAACTACTCCATACTTTTTTAGTACCTTTGGGTAACTTTTTCAAATTCTTTAGAAACTTAAGTAGAATTTCGAGGAATGTGTTCCCTGATTGTCCTTGTGTATTTTGCTTCTGAGGTAGGTGCTGGCTGATCTTCTGGGTTTCTCCATGGTGCTCAGGGTGCCACCCAAACTATAGTGCTTCCCCCCCCCCCCATCTGTGGTACTTGTATCATATAATCCAAACCCACACTGTATTGTAATGATTTGTTCCCTCTCTTCTGAGTAGACCCATTAGAAATTTGAAGATAAAAATTGAATTAATTTCATTTTTGTTTCTAGCAGCTATCATGTTTCTTGACATATAATAGGTTTTCAGTAAATGTGAATTGATGAACAAATGAATTAATTAGATGAAAAAATAATTTGTAATTAAAAGTTGTGTCTCATGATGATAATCTAAGTTTCTAAATCTAGCTTTTCTGCCTCTCGATGATTTAGGTGTGGGAGTTGATGGAGGCAATGACAAGGATTGGGAAGCCAATGCCTGCAAGATCCAGCTCATTAAGAAGAAAGGGAAAGTTAAGGCACTGGATGAAGAAGTTCACAGTAATGTACTTAGTTTGAATTTTGTCCCCTCTCCCCTCCCTTTGTTTCCTTCTCCCTCTCCTAACAAATTCCCTTTCCATACTTGGGGTTCATTTAAGAAAAGTGATGTTTAAAGTGGAAGGAAGGGAAGAAAAGTAGTTTTGTTATTATCTCTGCTAGTGTGCAGTATACCTTAGCTTCAAAAATGACCATATTAACTAGGGGAGGAAATTAGCTAGGTACGTTGTGTTCACAGCAAGCTCAGTATCCGAAAATGAAGGAACCACCATCCCTGAGGAAGGCCTTTCATAGAGCAAAGGTATTTTTAGTGGTGCACTTATTCTAGTGTCTTCACTTTGGAGTACATGCCTAGTTTGGACATATAGTCAGTCTGGATGTTGCCCTTTTTAGTAGGTCTGCTATAATTAGGTAACTATCATGTTTTCTTTCAGATTTTCTTACTTCCCTGGTATAAAGTAGTTGCCCAGAGATACATGCTGCATTAAAGAGGATATACTTCTCAATATGTAGTTCATAACATTATGCTTAAACATTTTAATTTTTCACAGGAAACTTCAAAACAAAACGAAAGCTTTGAAGTAAATTGGAAAAAAAAAAAAAAAAAACATTAAAAAAAATCTTCCACAAACCCCAGGAAGCAGTAGGTTTTTTATGTACCTGCTCAAATGGATGTCATGATAAAGGAGTGCAGGTAGAAGAGGAGAATGATAGACTTAGTCACTTTTTTTTCCACATAAGCCAAACAGTTAGCCTTGTAGTACTTGTTTAACAAATTAGATCAATACTTACGTTGCATGTATTGTGGGTAAGATTAGTTTAGGGATGAGGCAGGCACCCAAATAACTATACTTCAAAAACTGTAGTATAACTATTCGGTCTACTGTGTGTACCTGTATACCAGGCTGATTATATAGTTTCCATAGGAGAGAACTTCCATAGAAGTTTCCAAATTGCTTAAGGATTCAGGGGAGAGCTAGGTCCCACTTGAAGTTGGGCACTGTTGGAGAGACTTGGGATGTATAAGGAATGCCTACTGATTCTATGTGGGCAAAGAGGGTGAGAAGGGAGGACCTTCTGAATAGAAGAGCGTCGGCAAAGATAAGAAATAGGGAAGCCAAATTTGATGGAATGGTCCTTTCACTCTACATTATAGGTAGTTGAGTGTGGGAGGCTGGAAGGCAGATTGTGACCAGAATCACCATTTTTGTATAACAGCATATTGAGACTTGCCACCTCCTGAAGGAAAGTCAGAAAGAGAGTGGAGGATTGGGAACTTGCAGACATTGCTGGTGAATTTGTAACTGATAAATCACTTTGGAGAGGAAGCTGGCAGTATCTAAATGGAGATGCCTATACCCTGTGACCAAGTGCTTCCATTCTTGGGCGTATACTTGAAACTCTATGGATAAGGAGATAGGACAAGATTCATTGCAGCAAAATGGAGAAACAACCTAAATGTCTACCAGTAAGACAACAGGAGACTAAGTTGTATGTGGTATAGTGAATGAACACATGTAGCTTTTGAAAGGAGTATACTGGATCTGGTTCTGCATGTGGGAACATGGATAGGTTGTGGGAACCTAATGTTGAGTGAAAAAATGAAAAAAGCATCCTTAGAGATGTATAAAGTTAGTACCATTTAAAAAACAAAAGAATACTATCATTTGTGAACACATGTTACTGTCTCTATTAGATGTACAAAGGCACAGGTGGAGAAGTGCTCCATTAACCTGAGAATTCCCTGGGGAGGAATGGGATGGGGCCAGGGCATAAAGGAGGCACCAATTGCATTTTTTATGTTTTAGATCTTAAAAAAATCTAGAGCACAAATGGTTAGACGTTAACATTTGTTAACTCTGGGGGTGGGTATTTGGATGTTTATGGTATTCACCTTGTTACTTGTAGCAAGTTTCAGTTTTTGACCCGTTAAGACAAAAGAGAAAGGAAGTCATTTCAGAAAAGGCCATTAGATTGGTTATCAGTAACTTCTGACTTCAATAGTAATAGATAACATTTATTATTGGTGTGTCCCAGACATTCCACTGAGTGCCTTACTAGTGCTTAGTATAACCCATGAAGTAGGTAAAACTATCATCTTCATTTTGTAGATGAGGAAATTGAAACACAGGAGTAAGTACTGTCATAGAGAGTAGGTGCTGTCATTAGATGGTGTCGATAGTAAAGGCAGTGAGATTTGGTGGCAAAAGAAGGCTGTTATTCTAGGACGTGATAAAAATTTAAGGTTGTTTTACATTTTACATCATGAGATGTAAAGCACGAATGGCTATATGTTAACATTTGTTATCTCTGGATGTCATCCAGACTTGGGTTCCAATCCTGTTTCTGCTTCCTATTAGCTATGACCTAGGGCAGGTTCTCTGTCCTCTTAGAGCCTCAGTTTCTTTATAAAATGGGGACAGTAGTACCTAATAGAGCATTGTGAGGATTCAGTAACAAAATGAATACTTCTTGAGTGCTTACTATATTCTAGCCATTGTGCTAGGTCTTGATGACACAGTAGAGAACAAGATAGGCAGACTCCTTGGCTCAGTGGGACTTACTGTCTAGTGAGATGGCCAGACAACAAACAAATATATAATGTTAGGTAGTGATAGGTGCTGTGAGGAGAAAATACAGTAGAGGTGACATTTGAGCAGAGACCACATTATTTTCTGAAGGCGGGAGATTTTAGGCAGAAGGAACACCAAGTGCAAAGACTCAATGTGGGCTGAAAGTCAGTGGGCTAGCCAGTGAGGGGGAGAGTGGCACGAGATGAGCTGGAGAGGTGACTGAGGGCTAGGTCATATGGGGTCTTAAGAATGATGGACTTGGGCGCCTGGGTGGCGCAGTCGGTTAAGTGTCCGACTTCAACCAGGTCACGATCTCACGGTCCGTGAGTTCGAGCCCCGCGTCGGGCTCTGGGCTGATGGCTCAGAGCCTGGAGCCTGTTTCCGATTCTGTGTCTCCCTCTCTCTCTGCCCCTCGCCCGTTCATGCTCTGTCTCTCTCTGTCCCAAAAATAAATAAACGTTGAAAAAAAAAATTAAAAAAAAAAAAAAAGAATGATGGACTTTACTACATATGCCATGGGAAACTATCAGAAAATTTTGCATAGGGGATTGACATGATTTAACGGGGTCACTTTGGTTAGTGTGCAGACTAGATTGTACAAAGGAAAATTGGACATCGAGAGACCAGTTAGAATTCTGTTGAAGGAGTTTGGTTGGTGGTTGCTTGGGTCATATTGATAGGGATAGAGTGATGAGAAGTTGTTAGTATCTAGCATCAAGTAAGTTCTCAGTAAATGGTAGCTGTTGTTATTTGTAAAAGATGTATTGAGAGCTTTGATGTGTAATTGTAGAGGGGTGGAGAGAATGAGAATGTACAGGTAAGTAGGGGCCAGATGGTGAAGGGCGTTGTATCCCATGGAAAGGTACTGGGACTTTATCTTGTGAGAAAATGGCTCTCTGGTTCCATGTTAAATTTGAGGATCTTTTTATAAATCCCTGTGACCAGGTTTAAGATGATTGAAATGGGTAGCTAGGGATGCAGACCACTTTTTAAGCAATGGAAATCTGTTCAAGGATTTTAAGCATTGTTTCCTGATCAGATTTGTGTTTTAAAAGGACTCCTGATTAGCCAGTATAAAAGCCACAAAGACTGCTAAAGTAAAATGCATGACTTTTCTATTTGAGACTTCTGAGCAGTTTGCTCTTCTTTTAAAAAAAAAAAATTTTTTTTTAATGTGTATTTTTGAGAGAGTGAGAGAGAGACTGAGCATGAGCGGGGGAGGGGCAGAGAGAGAGAGGGAGACACAGAATTCAAAGCAGGCTCCAGGTTCTGAGCTGTCAGCACAGAGCCTGACATGGGGCTCTAACTCACAAACCGTGATATCATGACCTGAGCCAAAGTTGGACGCTTAACTGACTGAGCCACCCAGTCGCCCCAATGTTTCTTTGTTTTGAGAGATAGAGAGGGAGGGAGAGAGTAAGTGCACAAGCAGGGGAAGGGCAGAGAGAGGGAGAAACAGAATCTGAAGCAGGCTCCAGGCTTCAGCTGTCAGCACAGAGCCCAAGCAGGGCTCAAACCCACAGACTTCGAGATCATGACCTGAGCTGAAGTTGGATGCTTAACCAACTGAGCCACCCAGGTGTCCTGTAATAATTAGTTTAAATATAGATTCTAGCATTATCTCTACAGCATGATTTAATATTGGAATTTTTCATTTTATATTCTTCAGAGCAACAGGATATGGATTTGGATATAGAATTTGATGTACATCTTGGAATAGCTCATACCCGTTGGGCAACACATGGAGAACCCAATCCTGTCAATAGCCATCCCCAGCGCTCTGATAAAAATAATGGTATGAACACATTCTGCATGCTTTGGAATGATTACAGAGGGATGGCTAATGGGAGAATGAAGACTCTTATGTTTTCATTATTTTAATTTTTTTTTAATCTGGAAAGTTTCGGACATAATCAGAAGTAGACGGTATGTAGAACCTGATGTATCTGTTACCCAGCTTTAACATTTATCAATACAAAATCAGTTCTATTTCTCTATATTCCTCCACTCAGATTATTTTGGAAGTTCTCCCTTTCTCTCCCTTTCCCTTGCAGTTTACTGTGTTGTTTGTCCTGTAGAGTTTCCTGCAGTCTAGATCTTGCTATTTGTATGCATCCCATGGTGTCATTTAATATGTTTCTCTGCCCCTTCTATTTACTATAAATTGGTATGGTATTGATTTACGTGTGGAGGTATATAACGTTTAGGCATTTTTCTCTTTGTATTAGTGGCCATAGATCATTGCCAACATTAATTATTTCTTTAGGGATTTGTAAAATGGTGATAGTCAAATACTGTCATTCATTTTTCACTTATCTCAAATACTTCTATAAAAAGAAACTTCTCCATATCAACTGCTTAGTTACCCAGAGTTACAGATTATATACGAGAGGATAAATATTTGATATTTTCACTTTACCATTTTTCAAAGATGAAGTGGTTCTCATGTTCTAAGATAAATGAGTTTCTTTTTATTATTATAAACTCAGATTTAAAATATTGCATTTTTTAAAAACACAGAAGTAATAATGTATATTGATGTACAAATTTTCCCATCTTTGGCCTTTGGAGCTAATTTAGGTTGGTTCCTGAGTCCTTTTGACATGACACCAGTAGGCTTAACAGTCTTTGTTATTTTCTGGTAGGTTGAGATGTTTCAGGTTCATCTAATTTTGCCCCAGACTTGGAATCAGCCATTTCTCTAAGGACCCTTAGTTCCTTTTAGTGGAAATGGTATATAAAGACTAGAAACCAGGTGCTTATTAGAAGTGCTCATGCACCTAGGCCTTTTAGGTGGACATAGCTCTGTGGGTGGGTGCGTGCATGTAGAAGTTGAAAGATAAAACACGGCATAATATTACACTAACACTTCCTATTCACATCCAACGCTGGAAGGTTTTTACTTGACTTCCTTGCTCTGATAGATTTCTTTCCGATCACACCTAAAAACTCCATTCTTAACACCTGCAACATAACTTATTTGATTTATTATGTCATCTACATACACTGGAATCCTAATACCAACACCATAAGTATGTTTACTGTTCTTTGTTAATTTTTTGTTAGTATTTTTGTCTTTAGAGTGTATCTCTTTAGAAATATATAATCAAATTACTGTGCTTTCGAGTCACTTGGAATAATTCTCTGTGGTCGTGGTATAATCAGATACATTATGTTGATATGTTTTATTTTAATTTTTAGGGATTGACCATCTTTAAAAATTAATTTTATTTCGAACTATGTGCATAATTCTGAAGTCATATCAATAAAATAAGTCATATTAAAAGAAGTCTAATTTGTATGCTATTTCCTCATCCTTATTCCTTATCTGTAGATAACCATTTAACACATTTTTTAGTCCTTAAAAAAATTTTTTTTTAATGTTTATTTTATTTCTGAGAGAGAGAGAGGGAGAGAGAGCATGAGCAGGGGAGGGGCAGAGAGAGAGGGAGACACAGAATCCGAAGCAGGCTCCAGGCTCCAGGCTCCGAGCTGTCAGCACAGAGCCCAAGGCCGGGCTTGAGCTTTAGGGCTTTGTATCTAGCAGTCAGCTGTTTATGATTCTGTGTTCCAGCAATAAAATGTTTTTCTTAGATTTATTTTTGTAGTATCATTTGGTGGTATCTTTTTTCACTTAAAAATCTAGTGAAAAATGTGTATTATTTGATTTGTAATTAATTTAATTCAAGCTCATTTAATATCAGCCCCAAATGTCAGATCTTTAAGTATATTTAAAAACATTTTGATAATTTAGTATTCTAATTTTACAATTGTTTTTTGTTTTAAGTAGCCTCCATGCCCAATTTGGAGCTTGAACTCATGACCCTGAGGTCAAGAGTCACATGCTCTAGCAATGAGCCAGCCAGATGCCCCAGTATTCTAATTTTAAAGAATAATTTTTAAGAATTTTAAATAAAAATCCATATTAGTGCTCTTTACATACACTGTTGAGGGCTATAAATATTGCCAACTCCTCTAATCAAGAAGATGAAAATTATCCTGCCACATATGTATTTGATCTTGGAATGCTGTTTTAACATTTATTTATCTGACATTTTAAGAATTGTCTGGATCTCAGACAATAGTCTGAGTGAAATAGTGAAAAATACTATAGATCTAGATAGCTGATCTTTCTTTTTTCTTTTTTAATTAAACATTTATTTTTATTTTGTGTGTGTGAGAGAGAGAGAGAGAGAGAGAGAGAGAGAGAGGGAGAGAGAGAAGCATGTGCCAGGGAGAGGGGCAGATTGGGGGAGAATGGGGAAGAATGAATCCCAGGCGGGCTCCGTGGTCAGGATAGCTGGTTTTTCTTATTCTTTAACTTCAGTTCTTAAGCTCATTTAATGTAAATCAGGTAATTATTTTAGTTTGAAAGTCTTTCTCTTTAAATTTAGGAATTTTTTATGCAGAAGAATGAATGAACAAAGAAGCGAAAATAATAGTTGTATTGGTCACCTTTTTGTTTTGCAAATGAAGAAACCCCAGTAAATTTACCCCTTTCTTAGGGTGGGATTAGATTAGTAGTTTAGCCACAAATGAAATTGATGTCTCTAGACCCCAGTTTATTATATTCTATACTGGATAGTCTGTATCCACCTCTCTAGCACAGTGTGCTTCCACTAAACCACGTAAATAATGCTGCTGATCTACTCAAGGATAATCTGATAATGAAAAGTAGAAGATACTTGATTACACCTGGAATTCTAGCATGTGGCTTGATAGTTGTGGCTGTTGATAGTGTTTACTAGACCTGTAATTTTTTATCATCAATACTTTTTATCTCTTTTAGAATTTATTGTTATTCACAATGGAATTATCACCAACTACAAAGACTTGAAAAAGTTTTTGGTAAGTAAAGTAACTTGAAAAGACACCAGGCTTTGAGAGCAGTGAGTTTATTTGTTGGGGTTGCAGCAGCACCATCTCGGTATGATCAAGTAATTCCCAAGATGGCTACAAGGGTTTGGTGGCTTACTGGACTTTTCTTTGTGATAGTGGAATATTTTTGTTTCTTATGTGAATGACAAATAATTACTTTACAAATAATTACTTTAAAAATAATTATTTTATTTTTTAATATTTTTTCAGTGTTTATTTTAGAGAGAGAGAGAGAGAGAGAGAGACAGAGCACGAGAGACAGGGGAAGGGGCAGAGAGAGAGAGAGACACAGAATGCGAAGCAGGCTCCAGGTTTTGAGTTGTCAGCACAGAGCCCGACGCAGGGCTCAGACTCACAAACTGTAAGATCATGACCTGAACCGAAGTCAGATGCTTAACCGACTGAGCTACCCAAGTGCTCCATTGTTTGGCATTTTTAGAAGCTTCAGGGTATATAAGAAGAATTAGGACAGATTAAATGAAGGTTCTATGCCCTAAATAGCCATGTACTGTATAATATTGTTCATGATGATGACCTTCATGAGTGCCTCTTGGGGCTGTCCAGTTGAACTTTTCTGCAGTGTTAGAAGCCTGTATCTGAGCTATCCAATGTAGTAGCCACTGTCCACATGTGGTTATTGAGCTGGTATGACTGAAGATCCAAATTTAAAATGTTACTTCATTTTAATCAGTTAAAAAAATTTTTTTTAGTGTTTATTTTTGAGGGAGAGAGAGAGAGAGAGAGAGAGAGAGAGCGAGGGAGGGAGGGGTAGAGAGGGAGACAGAGTATCCGAGGACAGTTCTGAGCTGTCAGCTCAGAGCCCTACATGGGGCTGGAACCCATGAACTGTGAGGTCATGACCTGAGCCAAAGTCAGAAGCTCAGTTGACTGAGCCACCATGCACCCCTCATTTTAATTAGTTTAAATTTAAATAGCCACATATAGCTAATGGCTATTGTATTGGATAGTGTGGTATCATTACCCAAGAAAGAATCATTATATTCATTATGGAATTATTGTTTTGTGGGTGTTATATATTCCAAAATATTTTAATTATTTAAAATTTAATTAAATTTTTTTTTTTTCAACATTTATTTATTTTTTGGGACAGA